ATAAATGCACTCTTTAAAATTCACTATATTTGATTACTATAAGGATACTCTGAATGCACAAAATTTATATCATTTGAAGAATTATCTTATTGTTTCCACATGTTTTATTCAAATACTATAATAAAACTAGAACGATGTATGAAAGAAATTAAGCAAACAAAACAGAAAAGAAACAGTTTTTCACAGACGATTTAGTATTTTTTATTCAATTAATTCAGTTCTCACTTCGCGACAAGGAAAAATACATAAAAACTCAAACTATCTGTATTAAAAATTACAAAATAAATCTTAAACGCATATTTCCTCGAAAAAATTTCAGAATGGATTAAGCATGATTTAATTCGCAATAATAAATGAAGGAGTTATTTTTGTTGTTGCGAAGCTTAGTCTCTCTAGATTGGCAACAAATCTACAATTCTGCTGTTTCAAATGTAAACAAATATGTCCGCCATGTTATTTAAAACTTAAACGCACTTAAACAGCTTTTAAATTGTTGATAATTGTACAAATATTGCTTCCAGAATTACGAAAAATGCATAAAAACCTTAACCGGAAGATAAGAACAACATAATTCAATCATTTTTAAAGCAAAAAATGTACAATTTACAAACATATAAAAGTAAAGAAACTGAGATCACTGTGCCGAGTAACAAAGTGGATATATATATAAATATAGTATTATATACGTTTGGTGCGGCCGATTGCAACCAAAATACGAGGTGCACATCTACATGTTATAGCAGTTCTATATACAAAATTTCAACGTTCTGAGGCTATTCGTTTTCGAGTTATGCGAGATACGTACGCACGTACGTACATACGTTCGTACAGACGCCACAAAAAATTCTCTTCAGAATTAATTTTAAAGCAGTTTTATAATTTTTTTGGAGGAAACGAGTCTTTTATTCTGTCCTTACGTACAGATATCACGCAAAAACATCGTTAAATTGCATTCGATAGCGGTCAAAATGGATATTTTCGTTGAAATATGCTGCCTGAAACTTTTCGCGATTACAATACTTCCTTTTTACTTTGTACAAGGGAGTAAAAGCATTCAAACAAACTATCAGGTATGCTAAAAGCATTTTTTCAAGCAACATATTGAATTTGAGATAGAAGTGACATACCAACGCAAACTTCCTACAGCCAAAATTGCTTCTCTTTTATTTCCTGTCAGTTTATAATCAAGCAATCCATACTTGTCAAAAACTGTAGTAAGCTAAAAAAAAAAAAAAGGGGGGAAAGTTATTAAAAATGAACAATTATTCAAAGTAACAAATTAAGTCAATTTCTTACAATATTCGTAGAAAATTCATAACCAATAATTCATACAGAACATTCGCTAATATTTTATACCGGCACAAAAGGGATACATGCTACCATGAATTTATCAGCACGCAGAAGAGATTTTAAGCCGAACTTATAAAGAAATCATTCGATAGTTGGTTAAGTTGTTATGGCAAAGTACACAAGTGCTATCTGCCATGGAAAGGATACTTTTGTGTGAGACTGTTGTCTCATATAAACCGATTCCTGTTTACATAAAAAGTGGAGAAACTTCCCCTTCCTCCCCCAAAAAACTATACATCTAGACGGTTTGCAGGGAACTAAACTCAGAACGAATTATCAATATTTAGTTGCTTTATCCATTGAACAACAATTCAGTCTATTCCATAATTCTAAAAAAAAATATTTGGAGGAAGTACGCTGAGGTTTTACATGAAAAACAAAGGCAGTTGTGTCAACAAATGCCAAAGTCTACGGCAAAATACTTTCGGAGATAATAGTAGCATTTTGCTACTATTATCTCCGATTATTATTATTACTACTATTATCTCCGATTATTATTATTTACTACAATCGCGTTTTGGGAAAGAAGACCTTCTTATAGATACACAAGATTCGTTTCTTGAAGTACATAACAGTCCACCAGTTGCTTAACAAAAATATCCCGTATAGCTATTCTTGAACTATATTCTGATGAAAACTTATTTACTTTGGAGCGAGATCATGCACAGCAGCCGAAATCTTGTAACTTTAGCTTAGTGCCATATGTGCATGTTCAAAAGCTCATTCTTAGGAACATCTAGAGGAACAGTAAAAATAAAACAACAGAACTCTGCAGAGGAACGCATTTAAATTATATCCTGGCAGTGAAGATACTTCTAAGCTATTTTGCATATTCCTTTTCTATCTGAATTTATAGCTAGACGGAACATAATTCAATGTCATAGCTGTTAACTTTGAAATACGAAAAGGTGAGAAATTCCCTTACGAAAATTGGGAGTTTCCAGAAGGTTAAAGTGCTATGAAGGTACACCATTTCAAAAGAATTGTAAATTGACTTAAATTTACTTTATAATGCATGATTCAAGTTACTGAATTATTTATAACATGTTTTGATGTAAAATACATTAATACTTAATTAGATATTCAAAATTTTATGTTCTTCGGCTAATTTCATTATGGAATTTTCTTATGCTTTCATACCGAGACAATTCGGAGCAAAGAAGTAAAGCTTTTATTTATTAAAATATTTTTAATGTGATTGAAATAAAATTAATAATTAACGTAATTGTTGGATAAATTTAGTTATGTATAATATATTGATGTCAAAGAAAACTAAATACAAATATTAACCGATATTAATTGAATGCAGAAAATTCTTCAAAGAAGGTTCTACAGATGTTTACAGTTAATAAATAAAGGTAACACACAAAATGTAAAAAAAAAGCCAATTGAACAATATTTTGACTCTAATATTTTTGTTTATATTTTTCTAACTGCAGCTTCTGAGTAACATTGCACAAGCTTCAAGCAGATGTAATCGTTTTCTTTATAGGTTTTTTTTATTCATTATCTATTGATATTATTATTATCTATGTTTTGTAAAAGTTTATGTTTCAGAGAATGGCAACATACTTTGATGTTGTTCTTTTTAGAGAGTTGGTGTAACTTTTGTTTTCCTCATTTTGAGAGTATGAGTAAAGGAATTATTTAATTATTGTAAAGTCATAAATAACTAAAGAGATATAGATAGTTATTTCCGAGTAATAAATAGTTCTTGAGGTAACAAATTTGGTGAGAATTTTTGAACATTTGGCGTCCGCTGACTGGACTGTTATCTGTAAGTAGAATTCTTTCGTTTATTTATAACGGATGTTTTGAAGTGCAAACGATCTCAATTTAGGAGATTGTTTTCAAAAGCTTTAAATGATTTTGAGAAGCATGAAAATGATTTATCTTTAGACGGAAAAATTTCGAAACTTAAATTAGTTTGAGGACAAAGCAAAACCTATGATTGAAATAGAACAGACTTATAGAGAAGAATTGATTAAAATTGAAAAAGATGAAACTGTGATAAATAATGAGTTTGATGAGTCGAAATGCTATATTGATAAGTGGAGAATGGTAGAAAGCAAATTAGTTTCGCTTCTAGCTGAAAAGGAAAACGGTTCTGTTGGTTAATGAAAGCTTAACTCAAAATGCTACTATTCGTTATCCTAAGCTTAAACTTCCGATTTTTGATGGGAATATTAAAAGCTGGTTAGGATTTTGGGGCCAGTTTAAAAAGATCGATAATGATCCCAATTTAGATGATCATGATAAATTTTCATATTTATTGCAGTCTATGGAAAAAGGGTCATCTGCTGAAGAGTTAATCAAAAGCTTTCCGCCCGGTGGCGAAAGTTATAGTAAAGCTTTAGAACAACTACAATCGCGTTTTGGGAAAGAAGACTTTCTTATAGAAGTCTATGTTAGAGATCTACTTTCGTTAGTATTACGAGGGCTATTCAGAAAGTAGATTACGTTTTGGAATAAAAAAATAAACAAAGTAGAGGAAACAAATTTTATTATATACAGATGAAAGCCACACTCAAATACTACTTTTCTACATAGTCACCATACAAATTAAGGCATTTATCGTAGCGATGTACGAGCTTGGAAATTCCTTCGTCGAAAAATTCGGCCGCCTGCGCCTTCAACCACTTCGTTACCTCTTCTTGCAGCTGTGCGTCGTCATCAAAACGCTGCATAGCCAGCCACTTCTTCATTGCTGGGAATAGGTGGAAAGTCGCTCGGTGCCAGGTCGGGACTGTACGGCGGATGAGGAAACAACTCCCACTTAAAAGATTCAAGAACTTTACGAGTGACATTTGCCGTGTGGGGCCGGGCGTTGTCGTGAATCAACAAGATCTTAGAGCTCAACATTCCTCTGCGCTTGTTTTGAATTGCTCTTCTGAGTTTTTGGAGAGTTTGGCAATACCTTTGAGAGTTTATTGTAGGGCCTCTTTCCAGGAAGTCCACCAAAATTACACCTTTTCTGTCCCAAAAAACAGTCGCCATCATCTTCCTTGCCGACATTGTTTGCATGATTTCTTGGGTTTTGGGGAGAACTTGTGTGCCCCCACTGCATTGATTGCAATTCGTTTCACAGTTCACATGTTTCACCCATGTTTCGTCACCAGTAACGATGCGATCGAGTAAAGAGTCACCATCCTTATGGTAAGCGTCCCAAAAGTTCAACGCTGCAGCCATTCGCTGATTTTTGTGGTCCTCTGTCAAGATTTTTGGAATCCATCTTGCACAAAACTTGTGGTAACCAAGCTTTTCGCTGATGATTTCGTGCAACAAACTTCGCGAAATTTGTGGAAAACTCAAAGAAAGTTCCGTTATTGTGAAATTTCGATTTTCACGGACTTTAGCATCGACTTTTTCGAGAAGTTCGGCGGTCACTATGCTGGGTCTCCCACTTCGATCTTCGTCGTGAACATTGGTTCGGCCATTTTGAAATCTTATGACCCACTGACGCACTCCACCTTCAGTGATAATGTTGTCCCCATACACTTCACGAAGCTGCCCCCTTCCTAGTATTTGTCTCGAGTTTATTAATAAAAAACTCTCAGCAGAAATTTTCATTACGAAAACTCTATGATAACTTAGAATCGAAACTAAGAGCGTTAGAAGTTCTGGGTGTTGCTAGAGATAAATATGCGGCGATGTTATATCCTCTAGTCGAATCGTCATTGCCGGATGATACATTAAGAGCATGGCAAAGATTCCGAGTTATTAATCGCAGTCAGAGAGAATCTGAAAGTAGTGAGCAAAAAGAGAAAAATGCGTCAACACATCGCATGGATTTAGATGGTTTGCTTTCATTTTTGCTCGATGAAATTGAAGGTGAAGAGAGAGTATCTATAGCTACTCAGTGCTTTACTAAATATCAGACACCTAAGCCTGGGAATGCTAAACACTTTGGTTTCAAAAACCGTGGAGAATTTTCCAAAACACCTTCTGCTTCTACTCTAATAGCAACATCTGAACAAAATTCAACTGGATGTATTTTTTGTGCTGGAAATCATGCATCTGGTGATTGCGTTAAAGCAAGAAAGATGACGTCTGAGGAAAGGCAAAAAGCAGTTCTAAATAGTCGCAGTTGCTTTTTATGTTTAGACAGAAAACATGTAATAGCTAAATGTAAAAAACGAACATCGTGTGTGATTTGTGGGAAGAAACACCACATACTTTTATGTAGAAATATCCAAGCTGAATCAAAATCTCCAGTTCCTGTTAGCACATGAATAAGGATGAAAATACGGATGCAGTACCTGAACGAGATGAAACCCTCGCCAATTTGGCGAGAACAACAAATGTGTTTTTGCAAACTTTAACGGTTACATTGAAAGGGCGAGATAGAAAGCGCCAGGCCCGTGCTATTATCGATTCAGCTTCACAGAGATCTTATATTTTAAAAAGCACTGCAGATGAAATGAAATTTGAGAGTACATCTAAAGAAAGATTGAGCCATTCATTATTTGGCGGGTCATGTACTGATGTCATAAACCACGATGTTTTTACAGTGTTCTTGTCTAAAACGGATGGAACTTATCATTGTAACTTCAAAGCTCTTAGCCAAGATATTATTTGTGGAAGTATACCACCAGTTGCTAATGGCGAGTGGATTCAAGAGCTTAAAGAGAACAATATATCCGTATGCGACGATAGTAATGGACCAATAGAAATACTTATTGGCGCTGACATTGCAGGCAAGTTGATGACCGGAGGATTTAAATTGCTTACTTCAGGCCTTGCTGCTATAGAAACAAAACTTGGTTGGACTCTTTTCGGGAAAAATGGTATGCGTGAGATCTCGGACAATTCCGCACTGCTCGTCACATCCATGTTGAATAAGGAAATATTGATATCCGATCTATGGTCTCTAGATTCACTTGGAATTCTAGATCCATCAGAGAAGAAAAGTAAACTGGAACTTCAAGAAGAAGCAAGAGATCATTTCTTGTCTACTGTAAAGGTGAACGAAGAGGGGCGTTTTCAAGTCAGCTTGCCATGGCTTGATAACCATCTACCGTTAAAAGATAACTATGACTTAGCTGTAAAGAGATTAGCTTCTACAGTAAAACGACTAAAAGCTGAGAAACTTTATGATGCTTATGGAGAAGTTTTTAGTGAATGGGAACAAGAAGGCATCATAGAAGAAGTACCAAAAAGCGAAATTGATGTAACATGCCATTATCTACCACATCGACACGTAGTAAAAGAAAACAGTACTACACGAATCAGGCCAGTGTTTGATGCCTCGGCCAAACAAAAAGGATCCCCTAGTCTCAATGATTGTCTAGAAAAAGGTCAGAACCTTATCGAACTGATTCCTTCAATTCTTCATAGATTCCGAATGAACAGAATAGGAGTTTCTGCAGATATACGAAAAGCATTCTTACAAATAAGTCTCAACCCTAAGGATAAAGACTATCTAAGATTCTTATGGTATAGAACTGATGGAAAACTGAAGTATTACAGGCATTGTAGGGTAGTATTTGGAGTTACAAGCAGCCCTTTCTTGCTAGTTTCTGTAATTCACCATCTTCTAGAATCCACTTTGAAACAACTAAATGGAAACCCAAAGTATAAAGTGGATATTATTGAGCAATTGAAGAAGAGCTTTTATGTAGATAATTGTTTAGCGAGTGTGAAAAATGATTTAGAATTGCAACAATTCATACAAGTTGCTTCAGATACTTTAGCTACAAGAAAGCTAGAATTACGTGGTTGGGAATATAGTGACCCAACAGATAATTCCTCTAGTACCACAAATGTATTAGGAATGATTTGGGAACGATGTGGAGATTACCTTTGCCTTAATATTACTAACATCACCTACAGTCTACCAGAAATTTTGTCTAAAAGAGAGATTTTAGCTACTACTACACACAAAATATTCGACCCTTTAGGAATAGCTTGCCCCGTAACTCTTGTGCCGAAACTTTTACTTCAGCACCTATGGGAAGTTAAGTTATCTTGGGACCAAGAAGTTGATTCAAATTCAAAATCACAATTTTGTAAATGGTTGAATGATTTGCAGTGTCTGGAAAGAATGAGAATACCAAGATGGTTAAACTGTGATCGTGAGATTGAAAATATCTCACTTCATTTCTTCAGTGATGCGAGTAAACTTGCATATTCAGCTGTGGCCTTTGTTCGAGTACAAACAAGAGATTCGGTTCAAGTTCATTTGGTGCAAGCTAAAGCGAGAGTTGCACCCAGCGGAAGGAAAAAGACAACAATAGCTCGATTGGAACTTCTTGGAGCTACAATATGTGCACGTTTAGCATCCAGCATAATACCTGAATTTCAAGCTGATGATATTTGTTTTTGGACAGATTCGTCTACTGTGCTAGCTTGGATACAGAGAAATGAAGTATGGGACGTATTTGTTCACAACAGAATTAAGGAAATAAAGCGCAACTGACTTCTATTGAATCCTGGAGGCACGTACCAGGATCACTGAATCCTGCTGATTTGCCCAGTAGAGGATGCTCTGCTTCTTATTTAATTAAATCCAGATGGTGGGAAGGACCTAAATGGCTATATTTATCACCTGAAAAATGGCCAAAAGAAGATTTTAGTGCTGATGAAGAAGAAATAGCTCTTGAGAAAAAGAAAAGGATTATTTCGTCCTTAATAAATCTTAATGCTAGTGAAATAGTTGCTACTAGATTCTCAAGTTATCGTAAGACAATCAGACTGGTAGCGTGGATGTGTCGTTTTGTTTACAACTGTAAACATCAAAACAAGAAAAAGGATGAACTTACTGTATCTGAGTTAAATGAAGCAGAGAATATCTTGATTCGTTTAATACAAAATGAGTCCTTTAATGGAATAGAAGATAAACGGATTTTAAGTCTTAATCCATTCATTGATTGTGGGATCATCAGAACTAAAACAGCAATATTTCAAAGAGAAGATACATCTGAGTTCAGAACTCCTGCTATTTTGCCAAGTGATCATCCTCTTATAAAAAGTTTAATAATGGAAGAACATAAGTTGAAAGGACATGTTGGAGTTTCTCACGTCCTAAATTCCTTAAGAGAAAGATTTTGGATATTAGCTGGAAGAAGAGTTGTGTCATCCGTTTTGAAAACTTGTATAACCTGTAAGCGTTATTCAAACAAAAATGTTAACCACCAGTGCCACCACTTCCTAGAGATCGGGTACAGGATGCCTCAGTATTTCAAATAACTGGCATAGATTTTGCTGGACCTATATTTCTAAGCGACTACAAGAAGGCATGGATTTGCCTATTCACTTGCGCAGTGTACCGTTGTGTTCATTTGGAACTGGTTACATCCTTAACGACAGATACATTTCTACAAGCGTTTCATCGTTTTTCTGCTAGACGTGGGAAGCCATCCATAATTTATACTGATAATGGAACAAATTTTGTTGGAGCATGCAATGCACTTGCTTCAATCGATTTCAATGAAATTGCAAAAAAAGGAGCTAATGAACGTATTATTTGGAAGTTCATTCCCCCAGGCGCTCCATGGTGGGGTGGCTGGTGGGAACGCCTCATAGGAATGATGAAAAGAATATTAAGAAAAGTTCTTGGGAGAGCCTGCCTTAGTTATGAGGAAATGTGTACCGTTTTGTGTAACTGTGAAGCTATCCTAAATGATAGACCTTTAACAGTTGTATCGGCTGATTCAAGTCTCACTTCCATAACACCTGGAAATTTTTTACGAGAAATACAAAACTATTCAGTGCCAATTGTGAAACATGACTTCAATTCTAACTTTTATAAACGTAGATTGCGTTATATCCAAAATGTTAACCAGGTTTTCAAGAAAAGATTTCGCCAGGAATATCTAGGAACTTTGAAAACAACAAGCAAAAAATTTGCTAGAAGTTGTAAATTAAAAGAAGGAGACATTGTCTTAATTGGAAGCGATGACAAAAGGAGATTAAATTGGCCTCTTGGTAAAATCATACAATTATTTCCAGGTACCGACGGTGAAAGTCGACGAGCCAGAATTAAAGTGCAAAATGGAGAAGTCATAAGAGCTGTACAAAATCTTTATCCTTTGGAATTATCGACTGCCGAGGAACTTCCATCGAAATTCAGCGGAAGTCAACGATGCGAAAATTTTTCGGTAGAGCAAACTCCAATTGAGGATGTACCTGTAGAAACAAATAGAATAATCCATACCCATTTAAAATCGCCCACGATAACCAAATCAGGAAGGACAATTAGAGTTCCTCATCGATTGGACTTGTGAGAACAATGTTTAATTTTTTATTATTTTGCAATACTCAATACTCAATCCCGAATTTCATATTGCAAGGTGGGAGGATGAACAATATTTTGACTCTAATATTTTTGTTTATTTTTTTCTAACTGCAGCTTCTGAGTAATATTGCACGAGCTTCAAGCAGATGTAATCGTTTCTCATTCTTTAAAATCATTTTTTTTATTCTCTATTCATATTATTATTATCTATGTTTCGTAACAGTTTATGTTTCAGAGAATGGCAACATACTATGATGTTGTTCTTTTTTAGAGAGTTAAGTGTAACTTTTGTTTTCATCATTTGAGAGTATGAATGAAAGAACTACGAGTATTTAATTATTGTAGAGTCTTAAATGGAAGCACTTCCGCAGAGAACCCGGTAAATGTAAACATCGCCAACTTTGGCGATAATAGTTCAAACCTGGTAACCCAGCGGATTTATTCTATTCGCTTGTCTTGCGTTCATTTTGTTGAATTATCACTGTCATTGTTCGCATTTGCAGATTTATATTATTCTTCTCTTATTTATTATTATTTTTTCTGAATTTTTTAACAATGAATAGATGAAATATTTTCGTAGATAGATGCCGGTTCTCTTCGGGGATGAAAGGAAGAAAATACGGCGGGAGGAGTGAATGCTAATGTAACACGGCTGTTAAGCCGCCTGAAATTATCTTCAGGGGGCTTTGGCTGTTCACGTTGTGCTCTTAATTATTAATAGCTCTTAAGAACCATGAGCAGAATCATGAGGTTTCCAACCTCTAAAAATAATGTGTTTCCGTAGGCCGCAAAAATGTGCATGTGCATTTTAAATAATTAAGTAATGCTTTTATTTTATTATTGGTATTGTCATCTAAATTATGATAATAAATCAATTTTTATGGCGTAAATTTTAACAAGATAATGTATTGTTAATGCTTTTCTAACAAAAACCTTCAGAGAATGGCAGGTGGACATAAATAGATGATTAAATTGAAATAAAAATATTATTGATTATCTAAGATGACAATAGTTTGATGCATCACCATGGTCATCAAAATTAGCAAACCGCTGCTGGTGTAAGGAATATATTTTTCTATGTTAACTGAATTTAAGACAATTTTTTTCATTTAACCAGGTATTTCAGTACATTAATACTAATTTATATTTTTTAAATGAATTTTTATTTCCGTTCTAAATGTTTATATATTGTCTTATGCTTAATATACTCTTTTCTGTGCTAACTTGATCGTATATCACGTTAAACCGGTTAGTTTTACATCTACATGCTTATTATCTGTAAATTTTTACTACCATATGCTTAATATATTGTTTTGTCTGCTAATTTGAATTTACATGCACTAAAAATCATGTTTACGGCTCGGCTCATCGTCGATGAACCGCGAGCTTGGCGAGTAAAAATGCAACGGCGCCAACGGGTTCTTTCCCGAAGCGCCAACGGGTTCTCTGCAGATGAAAACCCGTCTTAAATAACTAAAGAGATATAGATAGTTATTTTCGAGTAATAAATAGTTCTTGAGGTAACAAATTTGGTGAGAATTTTTGAACATTTCCTAGAATTTCAATTGACTCACATATGAATCATAATCAATCACCTGATATTTGATACTGAAATCCTCTTTAAAAATAATGCATCTGGAAAAAGCATTTTGCGTTCTGGATCCTCTTGATATGCAGAACATTACTTACACTTACTTATCAATTTAGCATATCAATATGCTGCTGCTAATTTCTGGTACTTAAAGCTGCCTCGCATAATTCAAGATATTTTACATCTTTGCTTTTATAGCAGCAATGCATTTCATGCAGCATGAAAGTATTTTTCTATCCAGTGAATTAAGTATAAAAATTTAATGATAATTTTCTTAATTATTCTTATTGTGTGTTTATTTCTACTACTGCTAGTTTATACGTTATGGTTAATCTAATTGTTTATTATTAATAATAACCAAGGAAACCAGTTAAAGGGAATAATTTATGATAATATTAATAATTTCCAACAACAAATGATAAATGTAATAATCTTCAACCTGTTCAGATCGAAATTTGCCATTATGGCACATGTATGTTTTTCTCACACTAATGTCTCGCTATTATGGAAATGTATGATAGCTGTTTTTCAGATAAAAACAAACTTGAAAGTGCAGGTGTTTGTTTTTGCTTATTGGCGACAGCTAAATCAAATCAGTTTATTGTTTATTTTAGATGGAGAAATACACATTTTTCGAGACAGTCCCAAATACTTTATGTTGATCAGTTTTAATTGCTCTACTTGCTGCACAGTCTTCAGATGTTATTACTTTTGTTGTCAGTTACTAGTAAGTGTATAACTAATTTGAAACTTTTTCATATTCTACCATTTGTAAATACTATGGCTCATGACTTAGAAGTCATGAAGTCATGTTTTGACAATCATTTATACATGCTTACATTGAAAGAAGAAAAAAAAATATTTATTTACAGCAAAAGAGAACGATTCATTACAAAATTAAGGAAAGCACCAAGAAGACTTTGGGTAAATTGCCAGATGATTATCAACAGCTATGAAACTGGAAGAATTTATTAGGTTGAAAATCTCATTGTCCCACTTAAAAATGGAAAAGATTCAATTATTTATTACATTTCTATGTTAGAGAATTTTCAAATAATTCATGAAATTCATATTGCCATGAGACATGGAGGGCAGAACAGAATGATGAAAGAGATTAAGACTGAGTATAAGAATATTACAGCTGAAATTGTAATGATTTATTTAAATCTGAAATGCGTCAAAGAAAAAAAAAAAAAAAAAAAAAAAAAAAAACACTTTAAGAAATGATCTTGTTAAATCAATTAAAAGGAATTGGTTTATTAGTATTAAAATTCAAGGAATCAAACTGATTTCATTGATATGCTCTCACAAGTGAATGGTGACCTTATAATGATTTATCAAAACCATTCAATAAAATTTATTTAATTTAGTGTGTTAAAAACAAAACAAACAAAGGAAGTTGCTTATCATCTGTTGCACAAGTTCACAATATTTGGAGCACCTTTTCATTTTGCAAAATGGCTGATAACTCATTAAGAATATCATTATGGAATGTAGAGAGAATTCAGAATTGTTTATGGAAAGCTAAAGAAGACTTAGTCAGTCACAAGGCTAGTTGAAAGAGCAAACCAAGACACTGACATGATGTTAATCACTTGGCTTGAAACCAACGACATAAGGAATGAAATTCATTCAATTTATGAAAAATATGCACATCACTCTGGAATAGATTACAGTCTATATGAGCTACAGTGGGTTGTAAAGCTAAAATAGTTTAAGAACCTACTTGCCAGTCAATAAATTGTCAGAATTTACAAGGGAAGAAAATCTTGCTGTATTAAGAAATCAGTCTACTAATGATGCGCAACTTCTGGAATTAATCTCAAATGAGGATTAGGATATAGGACCGATAGGTATTTTATGTTTAATTCTCAGGAGGAGAATGAATTTTGTCAATGTCTTTTTTTTTGGGGGGGGGCGGTTTGATGAGAGAAAAAATTATAAAAGATCAAGCAGTTATCATTAAGACAGCATTTCAAATGGAACTCAATATCAGATCATTACCTTTTAGGTGATGATTTTGTATTGCATAAAATAACAGTTTTGCATGCTTGTAAAAAAAATAAATAAATAAAAATAAACAACATGCATATTTAATTCAGAAGTCAAACAACAAAAATCAGCGTTATATTTTTAAATTTTCACAGGACTAGTTTCGATGGTTTAACCGAACCACGATCCTCAGCTGCAAAAGTGCAAATGAACGAGATAAGGTAAAATAATTAGATAAGATAAGAAAGCCTGGTCAGGATATAAGCCACTGGCGCCATCTGTTGATGAAAGCAGAACTAAACATAATTTCTTTAAAGGCTGAATGCAAAGATGGATTGGACTAAGGGTCGTAACTAGAACAGTAAGATTTTTTTGAATGTGAAATGCCTCTAGAAAATCCAGTTCACCAATGGAAGAAATCTTTGAATATTTTTGGCAGCCGAAAAATTGAAAGTATGATTTTCGGACCAACAATGTTGGGCAATAGAAGACTTCTGTGTTTCCTTTTTCCTAACATATGCCTCATGTTCCTTAACGCGAAATTTTAAGGCTCTCTTAGATAGGCCAATGTAAATTAAGCCACACTGGCAAGGAATCCTGTAAATACCTCAGGAATTCCTATCAGGATTGGGGTCCTTGAGTATGGAACTCGGAATTTTATTGATGGGAGAGTAAACGACTCGAAAGTTAAATTTCTGCAAAATACGTGCAACTTTATAGGTAATTGATGGAAAGAAGGGAATGAACACATAATTTTTATAATCTCCTAAAACAAGAGTTTGTCTTTTGGTGAGTTGTGATGAGAATTTTTTAACTCCTTGATTAATAATGTTGGGTGAAAAGCCCTTGTCAATAGCCTATTGCTCTCGATTTCAGTTATTCTCTCGACGGACAGCCCTTTGACTGTGGTAAAGCAAATGAAATACCTTGGGGTTTTTCTCGACTGTAAATTTTCTTGGAAGCAACACTTAACTTATGTATCAGAGAAATGTGATAAATTACAGCATGGATTAAGTCGTATTGCGCGCAACACATACGGTATTAATTACAATGTTCATTCGCTCATCTATATACAAGGAATTGCACCTTTCATTATGTATGTCTCTAAATTTCTGGCTTTCCTCCAATTGATATTGTCATTCTTCATTCTATTGCTTATAAGGAAAATATTTCTGCTTCTGCTGTCTCTCAGTATGATTGTATTTTATCTCCATCTGATCTCTCTCATCCTTCAGAAAGAAATGCTGTTAATTTTATTCAGTTTAGCAATAAAATCGTAGATGATTCGCCTGTAACTTGCTATACTGATGGCAGCAAAATTGATGGCAAGGTTGGTCTCGCATTTGTTATCTTCAAACATGGTCTTGCATTTGAGTAGTTTCAATTTAGAATTAGAGATGAATGTA